TTTTATAAACCAAACAAAAAAATAAACCACCCCATTTTTTTTTTTTTTCCCCCCCCCCCCCCCCCATTCCCCGCAAGCATTGATAAATGAGACACAGATTGCGCTCCTAATCTGTGTCATTTTCAGGGATTGTAATCCGAACCCTCACCCGCCTTGTGACAGAAGTCCGGTCCACGCACAGCACGTCCCGACCCATGCAGACTTTGTTCACTTGACAAGTAGCCCAGGCGGTTTTCCCCCGGCACCGATTATTCAGGGGTGTGTCAGTTTCCACAGTTATGAACCCGACAGTGCAGCACCGCTCACACACACACACCACACACAAACTGTTTCTTGACTCGCCTGCCTTTTCTTTCTAACTGATTCAAATTAAAGCTCAAAGAGGCCGTCTGTCCAGTCCCGACAGAAAAATAAAAACTAAAAACCGTAAGTGCTCCGTTTCGCGTGCACATACCGTCCAGCAAGATAAACGCACCGTGTGGCGAAATGCTTGATCAGATAGAGCACTTACTTCTTACACGCGTCTCTCTGAGGCCAGTCAGCACTATAAATCCGCTCCGATCATCCACTGTACTCGCTCCCCGCCGCCGTCTCCTCACTGTACTCCCGATATCAATCTGCCCTGCGCGCTGTTTGTTGCTTTTTCTAAATTATATATATATATATATATTCTTATTTGCAGTCCGCCGGACACTTTTTTTTTTCTTTAATCTTTCTTTTATCCCAGCGTAGATGGCTGCGCACTGATGGCTCAGCGGTGTCCTAGATCTGGGATCGGCCGGGAAAAGAGGAATGAATTCCACCGTCAGGGAGTATCAAAAGTATAAAATATTGAGTTTGAAGAAAGGCTTGAGCCCGCCCCGATCAGCCCCCCCCTCTCCTCCTCCTTCCCTCCTCCTCCTCTTCCCACTTTACAAGCTTCGGGTTTACCCGGGATGCTCAAGGGCAGAAAGAGAGGGAGGGGAGGGGGGTGGAAAGGGCTTTATGGAAAATATCACCCTCCCTCCTCCTTTTCCTCCCTCTCTCTCTCTCTCTCTCTCTCTCTTCCTCTCTCTCTGTTTCCTATCTCCCTCCCCTTCTCTCCCTCTCCCTCCCTCTGTGTTAATGCCGAGGCTAAATCCTTTTACCATCACTTTCAATCACTATCTCAGCGTCTATCTGCTCCAGTCCAGCTGCCTGAACCGGGGCGGTGCAACTTCGCGAGTCCGCCGCTGTTCTCAGCTGTCCTTACCCCCCTCCCTCCCACCCCCCCATCAGGTCCGGTCAGCACCCGGCTAGGTGTGAAGGACCGAGAGGGAAGACGGAGGTGTATCCAAGATTACGACTGTAGTTAGTTTAAAACTATAGTTCCGGGGGGTGGAAAATAAGGATGATATGGATTTAAAACGAAGAGTTCACAGTTGAATTCAATTACTTTATCACGCTATACAAGAAATGACCACAAAATATGGTCTATATAGTTTAAAGAGTTCTTTATATTTTCTTTTATAAGTTTTTTTTTCTTTTTTTTTTAAATGACTGCGTTAAAGTTTTGGAGTGCATTGCTCTCTTCTGTGGAAGCTGCGCGCTGGTGTTTCATTTGTGGGAAAACTGTGATTTCGCCTTTTGCGACTTTCCAGGAGGAATTCTGACACTTCGACTATATTGGCTCATTTTCTGGCATGTTATAAGAGTCTGCGTGTCCAAAATCAAGATTTAGAACCAAAAATATATATATATTTGAAGTATGAAGTATCGTTGTCATATGACAACGATACTTCACTAACTTGAGAAATAATCTGCATTTAAATTTAAATGCATTTCTACAAAAACAAAAGCTTACATGTTTAAAATGGAAGTGAAACAGATAAGAGGCACTGGAATTGTTGATTGGGCGAACTGACCAGGAACAACACACTCAAGTGGACTTTGCTTCAGTCCATGTTTTCTACCCCCATTTTTTCCACTCGCCTTGGGATAAGGCGGTCCTAAAGAAAGGGAGAAAGAGAAAAGAAAGAAAGAGACATAAGAGAAAGAACTAAAGGAGTCAAGAAAGAAACAAACAAACATGCAAAAAAGGAAGAAAGAATGTGATTATGAACAAGCATTATAGATATCAAACTGAGTTTTCAGGAACATCTGGGTCAGTCTAGGGCTGTTTTCATAGTAGAGGTCAAGGGGGAAAAGTGGTGGGAAGCAGTTTCCACCCCTACGCAATGCCAGGTGTGTTTGCCTCATTTGCTTTTTATTCTGATAGTCATTTACAACATACGAGTATACAATTTAGAAATAAGAAAAAAAGGTTTTATTGACTCTTGTGGCCTTTATTTGATAGTGAATTAACAGGAAAGTGGGTAATGAGAGAAAGGGGAAGACATGCAGCAAAGGTCATCAGGCTGGGAATTGAACCTGTGACGGCTGCATGGAGGACTAAGGCCTCCAGATGTGGTTTGTGCTTAACCCCTGCACCACCACAGCACCCCAAGTATACAATTTTTGTAATATGAAACAAAAATTGCAATACAGTAAACAATAAAGCAATTTTCCATGAAGATTTTGTTAATAAGAAGAAAAACTATCTATAAAACATGTTGCATAAAAATGATTGCTCTGATGAATTACAGATGTGCCTAACTGGAAATTAGTGTTTAAGAAGTGCACTTCAGCTCAAGGTAAAAAAAAAAAAAAAAAGTTTTTTGCCCGTTTCTGGTATAGAGAACAGAGTTTATCAGTGCAACTAAAATAAGTTAGCCAGGTCCTGAAGCAGCAAAGTCGGCCCAAACCACCATACTACCACCTCCGTGCTGAATGTCGAGATGATCCTCTCTTTCTGAAATGCTGTGTTAACTTCAGACAATGCTTAATGGGATTCAAGCATATCAAGAAGCGTCACTTGCCAGTCCACAGAATAATTTATGAAAAGTCCCACCAAACTGTGGCAGATTGGTGCTGCGTCTGAAGTGATATGGGCGTTGAAACCATCTGTCGTGGTGAAGAGGTCCGGTCTACTGTCTTCTACGTTCCTACCCTCACCTGTGGTCACAAGCTTAAGAATGAAATCAGGGTTAGAAGCCTCTGAGGGGTGTCTGGACTTAAATTGTCTTTGTAACCCGCTGTAGATGGATATATGTCAATTACTTTGGTTCTTCTTGGTGCTCAGTAAGGTGCTTCTTTAAGATCTTTTAGCCTGCTTTCCAAAAATTAGAGTAAATTTGTGATTAATTATTTGTGGGGTTATTATTCTTTAAATATTGCACTGGTTAAAATGTATTTATTTAGTTTTTGTCTGCTTTTTTTTTTCTTATTTTCAGTCAATACCTTTTTCAGACGTTCCCTTGTTCTTCAGACGTTTACGACGCGGCTCCCTCTACGGCTTCTCGGATGTCATAACACTGCACCATAACACATCTCTGAGTTAGCTCAACTCAATGTAACAGCCGTGCAAGTAAATTAACTCTCAAATTAAACTTGCCAAAAACGTGAAGCAGAGAGGAAGTGCAACGACGCAGAAGACTCGTATATTGTCTGCTTTGAAACGGGCGACGGACGTTTTAACTGTGCAACCTGCAAACGCAGCGGACACTTCAAATTTGTGAGTGCTGAAGGATTTCATTGCGGATTTGTGAACGCAGTCCAAACATCTTATTGGAGAATAATTAATTTGCATGCTACAATTGAATTATGCTTCCTGTACGAGAGAGAGCCAGGTGTGAGAACGCTACAATCAAAATGTCTTGCATTTCGAGCCGGAAAGCTGCTAAATACTTCAGCTTCATTTTCCAGCTCACCATCGTGACCCCTAAAGGTTTTTAAAATGCAGCCAAGATGGTGATGAGAGTGAGTCTAATCATTTCATGATTACAAACCCATTAAGTTCAGAATATGAATAATAAAGCCGAACCAAGCCGATGCAACACTGCGGAGAACAAACAAGATGAATGGTTATTACTCAAGTCCAGATGCAAGATCATAAAGTCTTCTTTTCATTATGTAAAAAAAAAAATTCTGTGTATTTAATAAAGCATGCCTTCTATGGTGAATAGTGAAATAGTTACATTGAAAAGCAGTGAATTAACCTTATAATTTCAAATTTGTCACACAATGAAATCCCCATTTCATACTAGAATACATCCATGTCGGTGTGCCATCTAAGACGACGCAATATTTAGAATGAAGAATTAAAAATACAGTAGCACAGCATTTTATCTTCTGTAATACAAACATAAAAGTGAAACTAAGCTTTCTGTTGAAGGTGTTGAGTGACTTTCTAGTTGAAAATATATCCACAAGCAAAACTACTGATTGTGCTTTGAAATGCATACTTGAGAGAGAAGTATGCGCCTGACAAAAAAAGTTTTACAAAGTCAAATTTCTTCATTCTGTTTGATCTCACATGCAAAATGTTAACATGCATGTTCACAGGATGATTAGTAGTAGAATTATATTATATTTGTTTTTATTGAGCCTTACTTTTCCACCCAGAATTAGCTGGACCTGTTGCCCCGATATCGGATAAACAGAAGACGATGGATGTTCCTGCAGTTGTTTTCTTTGTCAGCGCTGCGCATCCAGTGACAGTTTTTGATAAGCCACATTGCCAGACACCCAGGGTGTCATCAGGAAGGAAAGGTACAGAAGCAAAGATATATATATATATATAAAAAGTAACCTATCCACAAGTTGTGCCTTGAACACGTTTCCTATTGTTTACACGCTTGTGCAGTCAACGGGGAATTGGTTCCCTCTGCTTGTTGCTGAGTCAGACTTATTTTATGTGACGAGAAAATGACTACACTTCAATTTATCCTAACCCCAGAATTGAGATGATTTTTTTTTTACATTTTGAATTATGTCATTTTGACCCATCCTTATTTAGATGAGCTTTTACCCATTTTTTTCCCCAAAGTTGAGGGTATTAACAGACCTCATGTCTCCAATCACTGTCAGCAGGCCCAGATGGAAATACACCCCTCCCAAACTCTGGCGCCTCCAGGGATCAATAGAACAATGAAAATGTGACATTCGCTTCCATAAGAGGCAATTGATATGTAGCAACACAGGCCTGTAATTGTTATCACACTGAAACAGGCAAAAAAAAAAAAAGAAAAGAAAAGAAAAAAGGCTCCTACTGAACTTATCAAACAGCCTCTGAGTCAAAGATGAAGCACAAACCATGCGTCGTTGTCGGAGGCTGAGAAAAAATGACTCAGCAGCACTCTCACCTTCACTTTTAAACCTCCAAAAAGGTGCCCTGGGTTTCACTCGCTTTGCAGAATTTGAAACATTTGCAACAAACTGTCACATTTCCTCCTCGGTAGCTCGGTGCCCGTGATTTAAGCCAAAAGTTCACCACTGATTCAGCGGTGGTCAGAGGAACCATCAGCCGGGCTCGAAACGTGACTCGGTATGATTAAGCCCTGAACAGTTTTTCTCCACAAATGGCTGCAGATTATCCGTGTAGGCTGCGAGAGCCCGGCAGCGTTTCGGCTCGACTCGTGTGAACGACTGCGCCGTGTTTTCCCCAACATTGCAAGATGATCACTTTCAGTCAACGGCAGCCCATCTACATCTGCGCGTGATTTTACACTTTGCTAAATTCACTTGACTGTCCATCGATAAGCCTGATAGAAATGTCAACCCCCGACATGATGAATGAGTGATACTGTTTCTTGGAATTAAATTATGTCCACCCAAATAAGAGCATCAATAACAATAGAACAACCTGTCCAGGCTTGTAAGCATTACAGTGCGCCGCCAAAACAATGCGTCACGGCCTTCATTTCCTTTCCCAGTGTTGCTCTATTACTGCGCAGGGTGCAGAATGGTCGGGCAAAAGACCATTCTGCACACACGTTTTCTCTTCTAATCAAGTTTTCTTCTTATTTACTCTTTAGAGTTGCATAAAGTGTATCGCAAGACCAGACCAGACCAGACCAGACTCCTCAGTTCTTCTCCTCTCTTTCTCTCTCACTCTTTGAATTTTTGGCAGAAGATGGGACTGTCAGGATAGCCTAGCTGGCAGACCTTGATAAAAAAAAAAAAA